AAGAAATAGAATAACTTACAAAAATATAATTCTTGTGTAATTTTTGGATTCTCAAATAATTCTAAACAAATATTTTCAAAACTCAAGAATGTCCAAAAATATCTACATCTAATTGAAAAGTTAAACATCATCGAGATGAATGCATAACAAAAATAGATGTGAAAGTAGATGATGAGAATATAATAACAAAAGCTAACAGGAAGATACTGTTGACAATTCATTGAGATGTCAAATGTTGGGTAAACTCTTTTTTTTTTCGGCTGTGATATTGCTGCATTGGTATTTTTGGGTAAAGTCTTGGAGATGAATGGATTTTTTTTTGAATGATCTAAGCGTCTTTAATCATTTGATATGAAGATTTTTGGATTATTTTTCAAAATGTCCAAAAAATCGACTTAATTCATGATTACAAAAATACAACTAAGCAACGAAAAAAATTCCCACAATCTATGCATCCCACCTTAATTCCTCTTCAACTCCCATAACATTAATAAACTATCATCATTATATTCATTACAAACCTGACGCTATAGCAATAATGAATCAAATATCAATTATGATAGGACTTTGTTATCAAAAAAAGCCTAATGCAATTTTCCAGGAACTCTATTATACGTGCTTAATATTCCAGAATATCCATCAAGACTGTTAAAATCTCAATTAAGTAAATTTTCATATCAAAATTTATTCTTTAAATTTTACGACTATTTTCATTCCATTTTATTTACTTTCTCCTTGACTTTTACGACCACAAGAAGCAGCTTCACATTATGACCCTATCGTCGTTAATTATTAAAAATTTTATATCAATCCAAAAAGTCGTAAAAAATTGTTTTTATGTAGGACCTCATAGAAGCTCTTAATTAAATTGTCATAAGAATTTTATGACTCTTGATGGAAGCTGCTACATAATGTTTTAGATGGACGACTTATTTTAGAGTGTTTTAAAGAAGGCTATGTTTAGTTTTTTGGTATTCAGGAGGTATTGATCAGTACTAAATGTCAACTGACTTATGAAATGTCTAGCTTTATGTCACAACTAGTTTTCTATCGTCATTTGTCAATCATTTTGCTATTGTCGCGGTAGAGCAGTGTTGTCCAAAGTTTTTAATCCACGGCACACCTAAGGGGTAAACCATGATCGAAGTCGCACATAGTATTCAACGGCACACCAGTGTCACAGGGCACAGTTTGGACAACACTGCCATAGATACTGTTCATCCTAGTATTATATTATAATGTGCATTTGATCAAGGCTCGTGTTTCCAGAGGCTAGCAAAAGATGGGAGAAAAGCATGAAATATTCATTTGCTATAAAGCCTTAGGAGTCGTTCATAAATGACGTTTAACAAAAAGGGAACATTTTTAACTTGTCCTTTTTCGAACCATATGTACTGGAAATGAGGCTCACAACCTTCCTTTGTAGGCTACAGGTAGTAATATCATTAAAGGAGTGGTTCGGATCCCACTATAAATTGTAGGTCTAGGTTTGAGTTCAGTGGTTTGGCGCATCCTCACTCGTTAAACTCTCATTAGCTGCGAAACGCCCTAGCGCACCTCTAGATCACAATTGATCTGAATAGGTAAAGGTTTTTTTTCATCGACCACAGTTAATCTGTGTAGACAACTAAGTAAGGATACATACATCCTCATTCATTTTAAAGGTCGTTAATTATTAAGATTGACTGTCATTACCAATTTAATTCAAGGTATTCATAGGTATTCCAGCATACCAATTAAGCCTCTCACAACCAGAAATCCAGACACCTCAACACATAGCTGTCATTAAACACTCTTTTATCAAGCCAATTTATTCATTAATGACTTCATTTAACGCGACAGCTTCAGAGTCAAAAAATAAACCATTAAATTAACATTTTGCATATCTTTTTAAAAGCTGAGCTGAGCATTCACAAATTTTCAACCTCGTAAATTACCCACGAATGAAAACAAATTATCACAAAATTTTCCACATTTGTGTCTCGTCGTTTTTTTTGTTGCCCCTCTGTTTATCGTTCTTCTTCGCTTTCTGTGAGTCGAGTTATACAAATACAAAACTTTTGTACACCAAAATAAAAAATATATAAAAAGACATAAAATAACAACAAATGAGTGAAACATTTCATGGCAACGATTTAAATGAGTTTTGCTTTTAAATGCCTTTTTGATACTTGCACTGTTCGTACCACACACATTGTCACCAGAAAAATGCAAAAAAAGCATCTATAAAAAAGGTTAAAATAATTCGCAAGATGATGACGAGTTGTCCACTGAATGACTATGAAAATCACGATAACTCTTCTTCTTGGTTTGTGCTGAACAAAATTCCATTTTGGAGCAATTTTCATTTTCAAAAGGAGCGAGAAATGAGTGAGAAAGAGTTGAAAGAGACTGAAGCACACACAGATCGCAATTTATCATCATTCCTCATTTTTAGCTGATTTATGTGACACAATGTGTGGCTTTTGTGTTCGTTTTGATGATTGAGTTGGTGACTGTTTTGAGTTGATGGGATAGCAACAAAGGTAGATGAATATTTGAAGGAATGGTGGAATTTATGATGGTTTATTTATGTAAGGGGCATCGCTGGAGGTTCCCTCAATATAGAATATTTTTAAGGAGTATTCACGATTAACTGGATCCTTTGGATTCCTTTAATTACGGATTATCTGAAGAACCTAGGCTTAGGAAGATGTTTTGAACCAATAATTTCTATTACCTTTCTATTATAGTCCAGGACGGCATCAACACGGCACCAAATCAAGCGTGGTGCCTCGTTTATGTCGTTCTGAACGCCTTCGCTAATGACTAAGTGCATGTTGAAGAATAATATTCGCAAAAATGCACTTTATGCACAAATTTCACCAAACTTTTACCTCCCATAACTTCTCAACTCAATTGTTGTTGGCTTATAAAGTCATTTTATTTTATATACACATTTTTGGGGTCTCATTGCATTCCTATATATGCCATTAATTTACTTTGATTTCGTTTCTTTGATTTCATCCAAACATCCTGTGTTAATCATTACTCCAAGTCAACAAGAAATGAAATAAAAAAAAAACTGAAAAAAGGTAATTTTTGAGTCAATCAACTCGAGGAAAGAATTCTCATTTTTTTTTGAATTAAATATGATGCCTGGTACGAGCATATACACATATTGAGATTATTATCAGAAAAGTTTGTAATGATTACTCATCTCGTTCTTTCGTGCGTCGCTTTATTTGTACAACATATTTTTTTATATCCCCGTGTGTGACTGAATCGAGAATTATGAATGAGTTCCTCTCAAAACTGCCTCTATTTGTCTCATTTCGTATTCAATTGAGCGCCAAATAATAAATTTTTATTTCAACCTTTTTTTTTCTTCTATTTTATCTAACTAATGGCATATAGACTTTATGAATCAGATGTGAATGAACACAAGAGGAGAGACTAATTTACATAAGATCACGTTCACTGAAATATTCTGATGAGGTTGCGTATTTATCTATCAATAATATATTCAAGTGATGGTAATTCGAGTTGTTTTTGATTCTGGATTAATATTCTTGATTCTCGAATTTCATTGAGAATCGTGAGCGATTTATATGCAACAAATACGAAATTGGATCATGATTTGGATTTATTATAAGATCTTGATGAAATTAATTTTGTTTTTTGAGTCATGTGAATGACCTCGTCTAGGGAAGATTTTTGTTGATGAATGGCTTTTTTACAGATTTTAATGTTGATGCAATCTATTTCATCTATAATTTTAAATTCACAGAATATTTGACCTCCTGAATAGTGCAAAAGTCTGTCATAACATGCTAATGGGTTAATAAAATCACATTAATATGTCAATTGAAAATTATAAAAGAAACGTCTGCTGAAATGTAGTTTAATTGCCATAGTAACAAATACTAGCGCTACTAAAGTCAACCTTCCCTAGATTTACCGCATGCATATTAGTCATTTATAGGGTTTTCAGAGGACAATACTATTTTTTTTATATTTTTCAAAAACAGAAGATTTTGACTAGTTTTGATTCGTCCATAAAACGAATAAAACTAGTTGAAAACGGCTCTATAGTTTTCTCAAGGCGTGGAAACTCAGGAATAATCCTGAAAAATCCTAAAAAATCCTTGAGCCAATAAACATGAAAATCTAAATTCCCTGATGCATTTGATGAATAATTTCGGTATTTAAAGGGGATTTCACATTTTCATATTTATTGGATAAGTGATTTTTTTAGGATTTTTGGGTTTTCTCAGGATTAATCCTGAGTGTCCACGCCTTGACTTTTCAGATAAATTTCTGGTAAGCAGGCGCGTAGTCAGAGGGTGGATTTGGGAGACAAATCCCTCTTCGTCTTGAGAAATTTCTTCATTTTGCTAGAGTTTTCATGAAAAACTAAAAGTTTTCCATACCAAAAAAAAATTGTCCCACTCCTTCCTCTCTTCAAATTCCTGGCTACGCCCCTGCTGGTAAGTCTAGTCAATGACTATCCTTAAAACTATCAACAGACAAATTACAAAAATCATATAACTTTCTCTACAGACATGATTTTCTAGCATTAACTTGTGAAAAGCGAATCGACAAGACTTCAGAAAATCGACAATTACTACAGGTTCCAATATAAATCACCAACCCTAAAAATCATGCTTTATTGAATTTCAATAAAATAAAAAAAAATTAAAGACATAATGTAAATTAAAATAACCATTTCGTCACTGATACATGGAAGTGATTTCTGTCTGCTCACATCTAATTTAAATGAAAGGACACGTCTTATGCATACGGAACTGTGATTATTCATGCTTAGACGATAATCTTATTTCCAAGAACAAAGGTTTAAGAAAGAATTTTTCAACTTCCTTTGTGTCCGCTATGCTGTCAACAATTGCTTTACATTTTATTGCCTTGTGGAAGTTTTTGAGCGGATTTTTTGGAAGTTTTGAATTTTTGTTGATGAAGCAACTTTAGTAGTGAACCAATTAAAGAAATAAAAAGGTCAATACGCCACTGAACAGCTCCAAAAAATTCACAAAAATTTTCCCATAAAACGCGCTAGAAAATCTGACAAAATTCCTCCAAAAGTCACAGTCATGGATATAAACCATTTAACCAGCAAATAAATATCTCACCATGAAGAAAAAGAGTCAAAAAACACACACCGATGATTATCAAAATTAATTAATGACTTTTTACGTTGCACATTGTTGTTGCTGACTTCTTTTCGCGCAAACATTTTTTTTTGTGCTTGTTCTTGGGCACTTTTTCGTATGTAAATCGTTCGCGATTCCTTGCCTCATTCATTCTTTCAGCTCTCTTTTTTCATTCCTCTCGTTTTCTTGTCTTTTATGTTGTTCCCATTACTGTTTAACATCGTGTTATGGCTTGTTATGGATATACAATTGTTATTTATATTGGAGTAGCCCCGAACGATATTAAGCACACGAGAAATGGTGCTGTTTTGTAGCATTTTGTTATGCGAAGCCGATTTTTCTTGATTAATTTATCAATACCGAAAATGAGGTGCGTCAGGTTAGAACAGGGGAAAGGAATCAGGGAGAAAAAATTAATTAATTGAAATGTTTAAAATGAGAATTGAATTTCGCGGTGGTTTGTAGATTTATATTATTGAAATACGGAAGATTATTCATTTAGATTTTCTTGAGATTGAGTTTGAATCTTTCGATGTCGACGACTGTATCCAAAATAAATAATTAATCCAATTCCAACCCAAATTGCAAATCTGATCCATGTAGCTTTATCAAGTTCTGTGATGAGATGAATGTTGATCATTATTGAGAGTGCTGGAAACCATGGATTGAATGGAGCTTTGAATGATAATTCTTTTGATGATTTTGGCTGTCGACTTATCATTGTCATCACTATAATCATTCCTAATATTGGCGTAATTAGGAGAATAGTTGTAAGGATATCACCTTCTAGCACCTTATCACCGATTTGAGAAATCACCATGGACATCCATGTGCTTAGTATTGCATAAAGTGTCACTAGAAATGTGACCAAATTGGATGTAAATTTTGTTGGTTCTGTGAGATTTGAACAATTAAAAAGCATAGACACTTTTTCAATTATTGTATCTTCACTTCCACTTAAAGCAAGTTCGTCTTCTTCACAATCAGAAACTTCATATCGGAGGATCATGACGCAAGCACCAACAATTGAGTATGCCATAATCTAAAATGAATTTAGAATTTATTTCATAAATTTTTAAGAACTAGGATTTAAAGACTTGAAGTGGACATAACCAAAATATTCTTTCACTTCAACTTACCGTTCCAATACTCAGCATACTAACAAGTTGATTTAAATTGAAAAGCATCGATAGCGTTCCTGTCAGCAATCCAGCAATCAATGTTCCATAAAATGGTGTCCTAAATTTAGGATGGATCCTCGAAAATATCTCAAAAATCAGCCCATCTTCAGCAAGAGCATAAATGATTCTAGGAAGTGGGAACATTGCTCCATATAAGCTTGAAAACATTCCAAAAATGGCACCAAATGTGACAATATATTGTGGGATAATCCATCCGATTTGATGAAATGCTGTTGGTAGTGGAGCAGTTGTATCTTGATCGAAATATGGCACCATCAATGTCAGTGCAGCGGAAATTCCAAAATATGAGATAAAAATGACGACGAGCGAAACACAAATTGCAAATGGAATTGATCTTTTTGGATCTTTTGCTTCTTCACCAGCCGTGGCAATCACATCGAATCCAACAAATGCAAAAAAGCACATTCCAGCACCTTTAATAACACCAACAATTCCATATGGCAAGAATCCACCTTTCCCATATCCCGATGGCACAGATTCAGCTGGAATCTGCCAATACTCAAAATTTGCATTTATACAGCCGCAGACAGTGACGAAAACCACGAGTGATACATTGACAATAGTGACTAGAAAAAAATTGATAACGACTTTAATGATTCATAAATTTTTGCTTAATGAACTTACAAACGTTACTCACGCGAGATGATTCTCGAGCACCAAAGGCTAGTCCGACTAAAAAACAATTAAATGTATTTTACTTAAAATTTTTATGGAACTTATTTAAAAAAAAAATACTTAAAGCACTTCAATTAACATATGCCGTCAATAGCTAGTTAAGTTTAGGTCACAGCCCACATTTATAGTCAACAACTTACGTGTGATCACAAAAATAATTCCAAATGCCATAAAATCTGCATATGCGCCCAAAAATGAGACATGAATAGGCAGCAACTCAGTCATAAATTTACTAATTGCATTTCCAGTTATGGCATCGACATAATTTGAGATCCCTTTGGCTACACTAGCACTTCCGATTGCATATTCAAGAATTAAATTCCATCCGATGATGAAAGCCATAAATTCTCCAATTGTCACAAAACAGTAGATGTAAGCTGAGCCAGCTTTTGGTACTCGAGCACCAAATTCTGCATAACAGAGTCCAGCCAACAAGCTTGCAAATGCAGCAATCGCAAATGAAAGGACAATCGCTGGTCCTGTGTAGTTTCTCGACACTTCACCAGATAGAACATAGACACCTACTCCCATAGTAGCACCAATTCCAAGGATTGTCAAATCCCATTTTCCTAAATATTTTTCCAACAGACTCTCACCAACAACCATTGGTTTCTTTCGAACCAAAGATTGATAGAAACTTGTTAAAGCCATAATAATAAAATAAAACTCGCCACCAATTGCAATAGCTACTTGAATACTAACTCTCAGTTTGATAATTTTAATACTTTCTTACTTTACTCATCATGATGATGATAATTACTAATATTTTTTACACATACATGATACGTCAGCATTGCAACTCAAGGCACTGAAGTGATAAAAATGAAATATGTAGCAGTATGGAATTATATTTAACTGATGTTGTAGGCGTTGATGCCAGGATAGATTGATTTGATCGTAGGATTTTATGGAATGTCACGTAATGGCGTATGTTTCTAGAAAAATCTTTGTAGTGCTATCTAAGTGCAACTATAAAATGTGCAAAGTGACAAACTTTCAATCGAAAAGGGGCGTATAAGGGTTTGGATCTTGACATTTTGTTCTTGACTCCCTTACTTCGTTATACCTCAGCTATCAAATTGTGCATTCCTAAGTGTCTATAGCTCCTACTACATACTATTCACTAAGTGTCTACTATCTCTAAAGTCATTCATGATAAAAATCAGTTTTGTTGATTTTCGAGTTCTCAACAACTTCCATGTGCTCCCAACTAAGTTGTAAATAAGTGCTCAACACATCAACATCCCGTAAAATTTATGCGATATTTTCAAAAAATTCATGTTACTCAAAGAAAATCAAAGACCAGCTCCCGACTTACCATTCCATTTTTCACTTCTGCTGAAATGTAAACAGTAAATGAGCTGATGTTTACAACATTGTAATTTGTGAGATGATGATAAATTGAATGAAATTTTGCGAGGCGAGAACAAGTTGAACAAGTTGTGGAACAAAAGAGATATTTAAGGCTCGGAATTTTGATCATTTTTCATTTGATTTTGTTGATACTTTGTTGCATGAATGTTTTGGTGCTGATAATTTTTTACTTCCACGTTTTGCAGTAGACAAAAAGGTATGTAGACACACATAGATCAAGTTCATTGACCAGTAAGCCTGAACAAGGCAAACTCATGACATTACTCATTCCAAAACCCAGACACATCAGCCTTGGATCAGATTACTTTCCTTGTCTAAAATCTATAGTTTCAGGCAATTAGAGGCTACAACATCATCATAATCACCAAAACCACAAAAAAACATCGCGTCTGATTTGCAAAAAAAAAAGTTTAATGGCTAGACAAAAATTTTCATAAAGTCTTGATAGACATGTCTCTAACCTTAAACCGTCCGAAAACTTGAACATTCTATAACGCCGGCGTATAAAAACCAAAATCAGACCCAAATCAACATTGAAATTTTATTTGCGAAAATAGCACAAATCTGAGATGTTAAACCTATCATTTTAATATTTATATCTGTGTGCTTTATTCGCACGCATATTTATCATTGTGAAAACATAAGCAGACGGTAGACGAAGTGGTATGCAGACATTATATACAAAATTGTCCATTGTTCTCATGAAATCGTCGAGAGAAAATAAAAATAAAAATGAATTAACTGAAAAAATCTGCCAAAAATATCGATTATTATCAAGCGATAATGCAAGCAGTCGTAAACAATCAAGAAGCGTCCATTAAATTGCCGCCACGTACAACGCTTTACACAAGAGCTAAATAAATACAATATAATGGTGAAGATGCGTTAAAAAAGAAGAGAAAATTGCAATTAATTTTTCACTCGAATTTATGGCCTCTTACGCGGTACTTGAAAGCATAAGTTGCAGAGACGATCACCAAAAAAGACTTCTTTTTTTGAAGTTAATTCATGTTCACCATGGTGTTTTAATAATTTTTTCATGCTTCTTAAAGATTGGAGCTTGTTATCGAAAGGATGGCTAGGGGATACTTGTGGAAGACACTTGCTAGCTGTAAAGCTTTGACGCTGAATGCAAAAGTAGAAACAGAGCAAGTCACTGACTGATTCTAACTCAATATATTGTTCTTAAATGAAGTAAACCCCTGAGTAAACCATAATAGTCGATTCCAAAACCTCCTCGGGGTCAGCTGCTTAGCAAAGCATACCCGAAGCCCTAGCGTACCATACCTCAGTCAAGCAAAGACGATTTCGGTGTACTGAAGGTCCTAGAAACCAGCCTTGTCCGAATAGACAGGTTTTCTACCTCCATCAATGCCCCCAAGTACAACTCTAGTTACCCTAATCAAGACAATATTGTCGATTATTCCTTACACTTCCATTATAACACAATATCCCACCGAAAAAAGAAGGAATAAAACAAAATTATAATTCATGAACGACTTTTTATGGTGGGTACTCCTTGATGTTCTGTTACTCCTTTTAGTTTATTGTTCGCATTAATTTATCTTTAAGCTCTTCTGTGTGCTTCTTCTTTTTCGCTGCTTCGCCCTCTATCTCTCTTTCATCCAGTGAGTGATAAAGACGCCGCGAAACAAGCTCAAGACAAACAATCTCTCTTCTTTATTTCTGCTTACCTTCGCTGTTTTTTTATGTGCTTCAGTTTCTCATTCATGAAAAATTTTTGTTAAAGAGATTTTTAAGATATAGAACATATATTATGTTGGTGCCTGTTGTCGTTGTCGCGATTTTTTTTTTTTGGACAAACATGTACAATATTGTAGTCTTGTGATGAAAAAAGAGATGGAAGAACAAAAAAAAAGGTATAATAAAAACAACATAAGAAATCTTGTTAGTTTTCTGCTGTTTCTCGAACTTAATTTTTCTTTTAAAATATAATTTTTTGGCTGCTATTTTAAGTGGTAATGTCTTGAGGCAGTTGACTCTTCTTGTTCTGCTTTTTGGCTGTTGATTGTTTCTCGGCTATAAATGGTTTTGTTGTCGACATGACCACAAACAAGAAAACAACATAAGAAAATGTACCAAAAATGATAATGGACGAGAGGGACTCTTTTATACGGTGCGTCTTTTCTTTGGAAGAATTGATGTAGCTTGGTAAGTTCTTTCATTGACTGACTTGTTGAGTGAAAAGTTAAGTCAGAATGTTTTGTTGTCTGCCTCTACTAAGCAAAGTTTTGCATCATTTCAGCTCAATTAATCTTAAACTTAGCTCAATTTATTCCATTTTAGCTCGATATTGCATCAATTCAGCTCGTTTAATCCGTTATTCAACGCAATTTAGTCTCAAATTGTTTTCAATTTATCCCAATTTGTTCTAAATTCAGCGCAAATTTACCTCAATTCAGCGTATCTAATCTTGAATTCCACTCAATTTATTCTTAATTCTCAATTCAGCTCAATTTTTTCTCAATTCAGCTCAACTTCTTTTCAATTCAGCACAATTTTTTATTTAATTCAGCTCAATTTATACTTAACTCAGCTTAATTTACTCTTAATTCAGCTCAATTTTTTCTCAATTAAGCTCAACTTCTTTTCAATTCAGTACAATTTTTATTTAATTCAGCTCAATTTATACTTAACTCAGCTTAATTTACTCTTAATTCAGCTCAATTTTTTCTCAATTCAGCTCAACTTCTTTTCAATTCAGTACAATTTTTATTTAATTCAGCTCAATTTATACTCAACTCAGCTTAATTTACTCTTAATTCAGCTCAATTTTTTCTCAATTCAGCTCAACTTCTTTTCAATTTAGTACAATTTTAATTTAATTCAGCTCAATTTATACTCAACTCAGCTTATATTACTCTTAATTCAGCTCAATGTTTCCTCAATTCAGCTCGACTTCTTTTCAATTCGGCACAATTTTTCTTTAATTTAGCACAATTTCTACATCAGTACAGCAAAAAAAAAGGCGCTCTAATAATCTTGCATACCTTCTTCCTCACATTTTTATTTTGTTATTATTTTTATTTACTTTTGTGGTTTCATGCTTTTTTTTCTTGCTTGCGGTTTCAGAATGGCCTACATCGTTGACAAAATTGTGAATAAATTAACAAACTAGTGCTGATAATGCCTTAATTAAAAACACGCTAAACAGTATTTTTCCCCGTCTTCGTCTGTGTCTCGGTCGTTCTTTTACTCATTTGTGCGCGCAATATGCCTCGGTCATTCATTGATTTAAAGCTTAAATTTTTGTTATTCGCATTCTTTATGCGATATTTTTGGTTGCACGAGAAGGAAAGAAGAGAAAAAAAAATTCATTAAAATTTATTACAAAAATTGATTTGTTAGGCTAACAATCATGAGTCCTAATATCAGAAGGCATTAACAACATACCAATCTGGATATAAAGGAGTAAGAGAGAAGGAGAAGAAGGTATAAACAAGGCAAAGCATGAAAGATGAAGTGAAAAATAAAATAAATAAATAAATTACCAATCTTAATAGCTGTGAGAAACCGCTCGCTCGTTAGTTTCGTGATGCCAAAAAAGTAAGCAGAGCAGCACAAAAAAGGGAGAGTGCATAAAATGAGCCAAAAAGGCATAAAGCATAATATGAGTTAATAACATGGGCGCAATGCAGTTCTTTCCTACTTCTTTCTACCATTCTATTCTTGTTGTGGTTTCTCGCTTTGTTTCATTTCATTCTTTATTTTTTTATATCAATTCAACTTCGAGTAATGCCGGTGAGTTATATGAAGCCCTTCGTCTTTTCACACCAACTGTATGCTCAGGTGATGAGATGTACGCGAATGGAGAAGGGCTTAATAATCAACAGAAGATCGATGACGGTTCTTGTGTTGACATAATGTAATAAGCTGATATATTGCATGGTGTGGTTATGTTTGAGGAGGTTTGACAGGTTATTATGTATGAAAGTTCATGTGCAGGACTTTATTGCGACATATTGGGTTACTTTTGAACAGGAATGGTACTGCATTTGCATTTATTCTTTTCAATCCAAATTGAGGAATATGAAGGATGATTATTTTTTGAATTTGAGGGCAGAGCAAGAGAAAACAACGTTGTGGAAAGAAATTTTGATCGAATTTGGTGAGAAATCGTCGTCAATTTTCTACTGAAATTTTTTCAATCATATTGTTTCCCCCTTAGAGCAAATCAAAGGATTTTATCCTATTTTGAGTAGACAACTGTCTAGGCTGTGAACTTTAAGCTGTGATAGCTTAAATATCAGTCGTTT